ATAAGTCAATTAGTAGCACGTATAATACACGATTATATTAATAGTACATTAATGGTATTTTAATTTCACCTTGTCATATAGTAAAATGTGAATATGATACAACTTCTAAGTTCTTTTTTTTCCTTAGTAATCATATTCCTGGATGATCTTTGGAAGATTTAATTGCAAGCTTTATGAAATGAATACTTTACATAGCTGTGAGATTTAAATACTTTGTAGCAATTTTATGGCCATAAAAATGTGATCTTTGTGATTTCGTAATAAGATTGATAAATTTACTCAATATATTCTCTGTAAAGTATCTAAAAGTAATGCGTATTGCATTATAAAAAGAATGTGAATTTGATATCGAATTAACTTTCTTTCCAATAATCGTGATAGAATAGACTGATTAAAATGAATTCTATTATTAATAATGTGAATAACCTTGCACCAGATTGAGTAGTTTTTTTATAAGAGAGAAAAGATGCAATCCTAATATCATTATTCTTATCCTTATCTCGCGCATTATCTAAAGTTATAAATCCATAGAAGTAGCGCCATATAAAAGCAATTATTCAGACTCTAATTGATCGTGCTCTTCATTCTTAATAAGCTATAAAGGCTGATTTGCTAATATTTACGCTATTATAATAATATTTATTGTAAATGGTGTTCTTGCTATGTACTATTATTCAAATTACATAAATTATCTATATCAAATCCGATATATTGAATTAAGCGTCAAAAATTTTTTTTATAAATTGCTACGCTGTACATTTGTTGATTAAAAAATTCTAATAATAGGAATAATAGTAATAATAGTAATAATTTTAATTCAATAAAAACCAATGAACGGTTTTTCTACTAATATTACAGAAATGTATCAAAAGAAAGTACATTATAAATATTATAAGCTCGTTCTTTATTGAAGAACTTTCTAATAGCTGGTGCAATAAATTGAAATGAAACAAACTATATTTGTTTAATTTTAACTTATTGCAGTGGCGTGCACTAGTTCAGAGAGATCATCGATAAAGAACAGATCTCGTATATAAAAAAAGCATGATTTATTTTCTAAATCCTGAATAATTTTTCTCTCATAATAATTCTTCGATATACATAACATTAAAAAAAGAGGCAAATCAAAGAAATATATTAATATATTTAAAAATAATTTAGACATATATATCAAGGTGACATGCATTACAACTTTGATTTGTAAATTTCGGATTGGATTATCTCAATAAATTACGTAGCGTTACTAACAAATATCGATTTTTAATTTGAAGCATGTATAGATTTTCGTTTTTTAGAATGTTATTAGTAAATCAGCCATAACTTTGATTCTTATTAAATTCAGTCAATATATAAAATGCTTTGGATAATGAATAGTTGACTAATATATATCACAAGTTATTTTCTCCCGTAAGGACAGTACAGACAATGCTACGACTAAAAACTTTTTCTTTCTCACCCTTTGTTTCAATACGCCTTGCATTCTCGTATGCTTTGTTACATCCACATTATAAGGTCCCGGACAGTAGAATCTTTGCACACAATCAACAGAAATATATTGATATTTATTGACAAATTAATAAGATTAATATTTATAGTTTTTCATAATTAATAGTGTAACAAAATTAATAGAAGTGATTAGAAATTATATCTCTCTCTCTAGAAAAAAGGTCAATATAAAATTTTTCGGATTTATGATTTTTTAATACATACAACAAAAACAATGTAAATTATATATTATTGGAAATTATAATGAATTGTGAAACGTCTAAATTTTTAAGTATAATATTTATAACGATTAGGTTTAAGATTGTTATTGCAAAACCATACTTGCAATGGAAATTCTTCCATTATAGTACATTTTAGCCGTACATACGGTATACATACGGTATACATATTTTTACATCTAGTAGACAATAAAAAACAGTTTGCCAAGAGATGTATATAATACATCAAATATTCCACAATAATTAAACAGAAGTGTAACACAAATGTTTGGTTAGAATCCAAACAATCTCTTTCAAAAATCATTAAAATCGATCGGTAACAATGATATCTTTACAAAATTTCACATACCTCCATTTAAAATCGGAGCAGTAACCTTGCGTCTGTGTTTACATTCGTTTATACCCATACATATGTTTAGGATAAAATAGCAATGCTACGTCTAGGTCCGCCTATGCATACATTGTCTAAACTGGACCACTTTTTAATACCGGTACGTAGAGCTTCGGCTGTGACCTTATCTTCGTAAACTCTAGACATAGCTTCCAACTTCTGCGCCTTTTCTTTACTAAGTGGTTCGCTAGGGAATGTTAATTCGTTCGCTTCCGCGAGTGTACGAAGATCGAAATAATATTTGGCATACACACTCGAAGGAACATTTATGTTAAATTGCAGCATCTCCAGAAACTGTCTCTCTAATTCATTCCTTATTAAAAAAATTACAATAATTATTTTTCACAAAATATCAAATACAATAATTTAAACGTAACTGAAAATAGACTTACATATCTTCCACCGTGATGTCTTTTAGTATTTGACAGTAATCTACATTCCACACCGCCTGATCGTCCCAAACTTTGGACGCCAATAAAATAGCTCCCAGTACTATACGTTTCCAGTTGGCTGGTGTTATGTCTATTTCTGCATAAGTAAGTAGGCGTTCAAGATAAACCAACGTTATGATGGCACATTCAGCAGTAAGCTGAGCGGCATTAAACAGAGTCCTTATAAATTTATATATCTGCTTGTGCTCTGGATTATGTTTGTCGTAATCCTCTGAAACACCATCCCTCTAAAAAATAGATTTACTCAAGCATTGCCTCATAATTCTGCACAGGGAAATCTTAAGACTTCTTTCTGTCCAATCATGTTGACTTTAAATGAGTAAGTATACGAAAATATAAAGATAGAAACATATAGAAACAATAGAAATAGATCACTGGTCTAGGGAGACAGTTAATATATTAGGTGTTTTACAGCAAGACACACAGATACACAGTGTAACACAATGACATTTATCCTTGTTGCTTGCTAATGTTAATCTAATATTTTATATATCGTAGGATAAAACTTTTCAAGCCTGTTGATTGGTTGTTTGATTATAGAACAGAGAGGTTTTTAAGTCTTTCCTATGGCTATAATAACTTGCTTAAAAAGTTTATCATACAACACATGAATATATCAGCATTAAACAAAGATGAAATGATCATTGTGTTATGTCTGTATCTTTTGCTAGAAAGCATCAATAATCCCTTGACAACTTCTTGTACAATTTGACATATTACCGTTAATGGATGCAGTTTCTCATCAAATATATCAATCTGTCGCTGCGAAGTTCTATTCTTAATATGGTAATAAACGGCTAAGGCAACGCATTTGACGGTATTTTTCAAGTTAGGTTGTGAAACCGTGCTGTCATCTAAATATATTGTACTGCAGCTGCTACTCTTCTTCAAAGGCCTTGTATCTGCTATTTGATGTTGACTCTTCTTCCTCACCATGCCATCTAAAAAAAGGAAGACCAGGAATGATCATATCAAATATGTATCATAAGCCAAACCTTTCCTGCTAATCTCCAAGATATACTCACTTTCAATAGCTTGCTTGGAACGCTCCATGAAGATAGTTCCTGCACATGGGTGCAACGACGGATCAGAGTCACAATCCTCCGGCTCGCGTTCACTGATATGTTGCAAATTATTAACGCTAATCCCACCCTCTGGCAGGTGTTCCTCCAGGTTGCGCGTGGTGCTCTCAGGCCCCACCTCCTTGCGTCCGACCTGTGGACTGGAGTAAACGCAACAGCTATTCTTGTTCCCCATATTCCCATGTAAATTCTAACCGGTGCCAGGTGCTCCTGTGCTTCCCGCCTGTCGCACTTGGCGCGCGCGGTCGCGCTCGCAGTCTCAGTTTGCACGCGGGGAGAAACGTGGGCGACGTGAATCGGAGCCGCGATGCGCGGAAGCAGTATGACGTTCTGGCTTGACGTTATGTAGGTAGATAGACAGGTAGATAAATAGGTAACACCTCACATTTCGTTGTGCGATAAACGATCAGCTGATAGGGCAGTTCGTGCGACTGGTGACGCGACTCCCTCGTCCACGGCTCGTCTGGCTCATGTCGGCGACGCTCGCCAAAAAAAGGAGCTCGCGCGAAGGGGACCTCCTCGCGTCTCGTTTCTCTGCCAAGAGGAGGGCTCCCTCTTTCGCTCCCTCTCTTTCTCTTTTCTTTCCCTCTCACTCTCTCTCCCTCTCTCTCTCTCTCTCTCTTTTTTCTCTTTGGGGAGGACCGTCGTTCGTCAGAGAACGAGGTGGCAACGCCTCGATGCCGCGTTCACGCCGGCCGACCTTACTTTCGGTTCTACGATCGCACCTGAGCTACGCGATCGGCCGTGGACGCGATTCGCAACGCGATTCATTGTCGCCGCACGGCAATCCCATCCTCGTTGCGCGTCTATCCGGCTCGCACTCCGAGTACCCCGTACCCACCCGTACCCCGCGAACGCGCTCCACGAACTGCAGGACGAACCATGGTAGAAGGGAAGACGAGCCGAACCCCGAACATGCGCGCCTCACCGTTCCCCGTTCAGCCTGCACCGCGGTCGCGCAAACGTATGCATTATTAATCGGCATCAATTGCTAAGGAAAATTTCTAGTTATATGTTACAATTATTATTATATTTCTATTATTATATTTTTGATTATTCGTTGTCCCTACCTAATCTGTGATCATTTTATTTTTATTTATTATTAATACCATGATTTTTTTCTGTTCCTTTTAAAGTATATAGATTGAAACATGGGAATCGATTATGGTGGAATATATCTTGAAATGAGATGAAAATGATAAAAAAGTAAGCAAACTCACTCGAATATTAATTTCATTATCCAGTGAATTTGCTTACCTTTGTAATTTTTATTTCGTTTCAAGACACACAATCGACCTTATGATGTAAGAACAAGGCGTTCTCAACTTCTCATATGGATGCACATGCGGCCGCCAATCAAAAACTATTTATTATGAATGCTCCGCTGTTACCAGCTGTTTTCACTAGAGTTCCTATATCACGGACCTCTAGCAAACACTTCAGAGTAAACACCGAAACACCACTCTCGTTACGCCTGTCACTCATGGACAACGTCGCGATCGCTAAAATGGCGAGATAGTGTGTTGACATTGGCTCGAGTTCTCGTCGAACCCAGGTGTAGGGAGACCTTAAATCCGTCAGTCAGTGATCGCTCGAGAATCGTGCTCGCGGAAAACAATGCACTCGGTTAGCTTCAGTTTGCCAAGTTCTACGGACGTGAGTGACGTCCCGACGTTAATTAAGCGAGACCCGGACTGTAGAACAGTCGATGTTGGCGAGTCGTATGGCGAGACCGAGGGTCTACGTATCCTCGATGAATTCCGCAAATTGTATGAGACCCGCATCGAAAAGATCGATCAGGAATGTATCGGTGATTCCGACCGAGTCTCTGTAAGAAGTAGCTTTGTTATCAGTTTGCATTTATTGCCAATTCTGTTTGTACTTTTTATATATACTTTTTAAGTTCTTTTGATTGCCGCTTAGTAATTATTTTTTTATTTGTGTTTGAAACAGTTTATCAAAAAATTCCTTTGCAGATGAAGTTACAAGTGATGAGCGATTGGATCAAAGATTTAGGAGAGCAAAATACGATGTTAGTGCATACAGTGGAAGATTTGGAGCAGGCTGCGTGTAGTAGAGTTAAGTTACTAGAGGAGAAACTAAAACAATCGTCGCAAATAGTCGTGGATAATTTAACAAGATCTGATCATTCGGAAAAGGCAAGAGAGATCACCTAATTTTGTTTAGTAATCTCATCGTGAAATCAAGACATATTATCTCTATGTTATAGGCTTTGAATACTCTTTCAAATCGCGTCAATAAGCTAGAAAAGGACGAAGAGTATTTACAACAAAAAATAGAGTATCTACAAAGTGACATTAGGGGATTATTAGAGGTGATTCGTCGTGCACGTCAGCAAAACGTTTGGAGCCTTGAGGGTATCAAGTTCTTTGAAATTCAACCTGAGGATATTCTAGTTCCAGAGTAAGTTAATCATGTTATCAATTAATCCTCTGTGGTCCAGCCAGAGATTTGAAGATCAAATTTTAAATTTTGAATTATTCTATCTCAAATTTGAACACATACAAAAAAATTTAGGATCATATTGTAAAATTGTATTTTTGAATGTTGAAAGGATGTATTACAATTTTTTTAGATTTTTAGAATTCAAAAACTCTTTTAAAAAATACGATAAAGTACTAGTGATCTTGGATTAGGAAAGTAGTGAAAAAACGTTGGACCATGTGGAGGGTTAACATATGATATTTTACATTATATCTTGCATTGTAAAGTATTTAATGATAAAATTTTTTATACTGTTTCAGCTGTATCTGCAATCAGGTAAATATGTGTGTAAATGCTGCCAGAAAGCTCCGATTTGTTTTAGACATAGAGCATGACAAATTTCAGAGATTAAATTGTCTGTTAAACAAAAGCATGTAATACTGTACCATGTATTCACAATACAAGCCGAAAAGTTCTTCTTAGTTCCCTACACCTTTATTAAATTGAATTATTATCATATACACATACACATATATGCATATATTCGTGTTGAATAAATTACCAGTAGCCCCATTTGCTGAAGTATTATATTTTCGAGAAATCTTAATTATTATTATTTTAGTATTACATTTAATTATACATATTTTCAAATTAGGAGCAGACAGATACTGATCATATAAAATCCTTGAATCTGCAAATAGAACAACTTCAGGAAAATGATAAAAAAAAGATTAGGTAAGATATGCAAATTTTATATATATATATATATA